TGCTCCCTAGCTACCAATAGGCTTACCCTGCGTCGAGTGGGGGGGCATCGGACTCGCTGGGCTGAAAACGCCATCGGCATATCCACGTTGGTTGTCCGCCATGCGCACAGTATGTCATCCGCCCACCGCCAGTTCATCGGCCCTAGGACTCGATCCCGCCGGCCCTCTTCACCCTTGTGACGCGCAGAAGCCGTGTTATGTGGCGCTTCACCTCTCGCTCGACCGTGTTGTTCCAGTGGATGATGGAAAGTGCTATGCGAGCCTCCATGCTTCCTTGGAACCTGATGCGCTTTGGTGCATATTTGCATAAGACCGAATGAAATGACTCATTCAACCAACTATTGAAATGACCAGTGATAAAAGCTGCCATCTTCTCGGCACTACAATGTCGCGATAGCCACTGTCGAAAGGCAATGTGTGTCTTCCCCCCGGACTTGTAAACTGCACTCTCTTTTCCCCATGCATCCGTAATGCATTTAGGTGCGATGCCATGTCATTTGCACTTGGAATGATCACCCGCCCAGTGCTCGGTGCATATGACAATCTCCGCAGCCACCTCTTGGGCAGTCATCGATGTCCCGACCGCCGCCAATGTGGCGCAGCGCAGCATGATGTAATGGAAGTATACGTTGAAGCGTTGGGCGACACTAACGGCCTCGACCACCTCCGAAGGCGGCGGGTTAGTGGTTGGGGCACCCGGTATGGTGCATTGACCGCGACTGCGCTTGCGTGGAGTTGACCACCTTCCACCTCTGCCACCGCCTTCAGCCTCTGTGCTCGACTCGGGCCCTACCTCCAACACGTCTTCCACATCCACGTCCCCTTCACCATCCCACCAGCCCCGTCGCTGCAGGTCGCCGATCTCCTCGCGCATGGCCGCCAACTCATCTAAATATCATGCACATGGACATCGTACGGTGTAGGCAAGGGGATGGGCGGCGGGCACACGCGCGGGCGAGAGGGGAGAGGGGGTGAGGGCATGGGGGGGGCGTGGGCTATGTGGGCGTGGGCCAAGGCGTGCGATGGGACGAGCAACAAGGTATGTGCATGGGGAAATGTACGTTGGGTTTCCACCTGATGATTGTGGATCGAAAAAAAATGAAATAAACAAAAGGCAGCACGGATGCACAAAGCTCACCCGCCTCTGACCAGGTCCGTTGTTTTCTGACTGGTTCATCCACCTCGTCTGGCCTCCCTGCGGCACTCTGGGATGCTGCAGACTCTGGGCAGAGGCCGCGCCATGGGTGTGGGTCCCATGCGAACCTAGTTGCGACGTCCGTAAACTCCAAGTCGGTGCCAGTGGCCTCGTCTGCCACCACTTGGGTGGGCGCAGCAACGCCATTCCCATCTAGTGATTGAAGAGCGTCCGCCATCTTCCCCCCTCTATTACCATCACCAGCCATATGCACTACCACCTTACGCATCTCAGGGTACTTGATAGAGGCCTCAAAGGGATCGCGCCTGGCATAAACAATGCGCTCATGCCAACGGCATACATCTTTTACCAGCGCCTCTTTGGTGGTGGCAGTAGACATAGCCCCCCTCTTACCTTTTTTCTCAAGCCATGACAAAAGGTGCGTTTTGCGGATGTGCCACAAGTCATTAATCGTGCAGGCCTGCTTCACTTTCATCTCAGAGTCCTTGCGCGCGTCAACCAAGTCCTTCAATAACGCCTTTGTAAGCGACCTGGCCATGTGCCACCCATTCATCTGGTGTTTGAGCTTCAGCTCCTTTGCCAACTTTCTCCATATTGAGCCTCCATCAGTGATAATCCCCTTGACTATGAAACCTGCAACTGTTAGTTCTGACATCCCTCTCAAAAATGTCACCTTCTCCATGGCCGTGGAAGACACGCCGGACCTCCACTTGTTTATCGTCATGCAATGGAGTATACGTTTGGTGACCACATCCATAAAGGATACGGTGCACCACTCGCCCTCTTGTGACTGCGACCACCGACCGTTGACAGCAACCCATTCACCTGGACATGCTCGTCTCAACATCTCTGCATGGACACGCGACATGGACAATTCACTCTGCTTGACTATTGTTGTCCATAAGCCCAATGGCCCACGCATGTAGCTGTAAAATGTCTCTTTTACAAGAATTGAAAGACCGATGTTTTGGGACACTTGCCACATAGCCTGGTACCCAAGACCAGTCATTTGGTAAGCCCCCAAGACAGTTTTAGTTAGCCACGACATCTTAGGGCCGGGTTTCCCCTTCTCGTTATCATCGCCCTCGCGATTACAGGTCCACTAAATATCTGTATGCTGACATTTGGTGCACCTCCACAGCATACCAAACGTCCCCCAGGCATGCCTCCACGAGTGAATGAGCATGAACCCACCCACGCCTCATCCGCGGTGCAATGAACCACAAGCATGTGCATTAATGCTACAAACCGGTTTGTTTCCAGATAACACACCGTGCCCTCACCCATGGCTGTTAGCTATGACCGCCTTGGCCACTCTCTTGGGGGCGGTTTTGTGAAGTGGTGGCGCTTTGGAACCACATGCCGACTGCTGTTAGGGAAGGTGGGAGGGCAGGGGAGGGGGAGAGGCGTTAGGGCAAAGGAGGGGGCATGAGGCTTTCGGAGAAGGGGAGTGGGAGTGAGGGATGAGTGCAAGGAGGGAGTGCGAGTTGGAGGTGTGTAAGGGCAACAACTGCAGGCAGCATGTGTAATGCCTTAGCACTCACTGCCTGTCTCCCCACTGCCACTGCACTCACCACCCTAACACTTACTACCCTCCTCAAGACTGGCACTTCCCCCTCCCCCAGCTCCCCCCTATCACCGCTTGTTTACCTTCGCCCTCACCGTCGCCAAAAACTTCGTATCCATGCCCCCTCCTCTTGTTCCTTCCCTCCTCTCCTCTTGTCCCTTCCCTCCTCTCCTCTTGTCCCTTCCCTCCTCTCCTCTTGTCCCTTTCCTCCTCTCCTCTTGTCCCTTCCCTCCTCTCCTCTTGTCCCTTCCCTCCTCTCCTCTTGTCCCTTCCCTCCTCTCCTCTTGTCCCTTCCCTCCCTCTGCCCTATGCTCCTGTCGCCCTTCTATACATAAAACCTTTCCTCCAGTCACCATCATGTATCTCGTTCTGTTGGTCCATTAGCCTACCCCCCCTGCCCCCCCCCCCCCCCCCCCCCCCCCCCCACTTTCCTTACGTGCTGTCACCCAACGCTGCCTCCCGCTTTTCGCCCCCTCACCGGCTCTTCCATCCACCCTTCGCCGCAGTCACCCTCCTACCTCCTCCTTATAATCACCACGCCCTTTCTCCATCCCCCCTAATCTCCCACTCACCCCCTTCTAATCTCAACCACATCCTCTGCCACGAAGCACCACACAGCCCCATATAGTCGCCCCTCCCCTTACCGCTCCATCTCTTCACCTAATCTTGTAGTTGCCTTCCCACACAACCCTCAACCCACCCCCACACTCTGCCCTCTCCCAGTATTTTCACTCCAGCCCCCATATCTCTCATCCTCCCCCTTTATTTACACCACACCAACACCCCTCCTCACCCCACAACCACCCACCCTCGCAACCCACACCCCCTTCTCCTGTGGTCCCATCCTCCCATCACATCATCTTTTTACAATCACACCGCACCCCCCACATCACCCACTCTCCCCTGTGATGATCTCAACCACATCCCACTCTACCTCCCAGCAACCACTTCCCCCCTGTAGTCACACCTCTCCTTACCTCTCCTTTCTTCGCAACTGCCCGCCCACCCTCACAACCCACAACCCACCCGCCCCATCTGCCCTCTCCTTTTATAATCACACTGCCCCAGCACTCCTCCTCACCCTCCCATCCTCACATATTCAACCCCCTCTCCTCGCCCCCCCTCCACATATAGTCTTACCGCCATGCAATCCTCCCAACCCTTTCGCCCTCAATAATCACACCACACCCTCTGATCTAACCTCCAACCTCTTCAATCACAGCCACATCCCTCTCCTCCTCCCAGCCACCAATCGTGGCGGTCCCCCTCCATTCTCAACTCCTTCCTTCCCTCCGGTCTTCCCATCCACTTGTACCCTCAATCCCCAAAATTCCGATGCCCTCCTCTCGCCCACCCTTAGCCTTCATCTCCCTCGTTTTCTGCACCCGCGGCCTTTGGACCGACCCTTCTCTCCCTGGCCCTCGCTTTAACACCCCTACCAACTTCCCTATCTCATTCTTTTTCTTCCGGCTGCCTTAGCCCCCCTCCACTTTTTGCACAGGCCACGCCATCGTCCTCTCTTTCCCCCCCCCCCCCCCCCCCTCCCGTACTTTCCCTTCTCTGCTACTCTCAGTTTCCATCTGTCTCGTCGCCCTTTCCCCCTATCTCCCGCAGGTTGCTCCGCTTCCCTGCCCTCTTTCCTAGTTCCAGCGCCACCTTCCCTCGCCACTTCCGTCACCAAAAAGTGGCCGTCACAACTCTGTCCTGAATGTATGCGGGTCTCCAATCGGTCAAAAGATTGTGCCAAAAGAATCTAGACGATCTCCCGAAAGTGTCCCATGCATGACATGGCACGAATCTGAACAAAAACTGTCAAACTTCCATGCAAAGCAAACTTCGCCCGGGACAGATTTCAGACGGATTCTCTTCCGCAGCAGGTGCCAACTTCCAGGTGAATGCAACAGAGGTCGAAAGAACGGTTCATATTCCAATTTTCCGGTTAAAATTCAGTATACCGTCGATTGTTTTTATTCATTTCATTGCCTTCAGATCATTTCGACAAGTATCTAACGGCCCCAAACGCCGGAGGTTGATTCGACCGTTAGATTGATTTCGAGGTAATCGAACGGTCGAAAATCCAATCCACTGCAAGTTACATTTCTTGCACTAGCGAAAAATTTGAATTTCGTATAGCGCCGCGAACATCTTCAAGTTTCGTGAGCCCTTAACCCAACTTATCCATAAAACCTCACCCAACTTTGCCACGTCAGCTGCTGCTGTGTTCCATCTTCCCCAACCAAACCATCTTCCCCAACCACTCCATTTTTCCCTCGCAGCTGTTCCACTTTTCTCTCTCAGCTCCAACCTTAGCCGTTTTCCTGATTCATTTTCATAAACCTGACTGATTAGCTCTAGTAATTTTTACGTCTAGCGTTTTGTTTTCGTCTCATTAGTACGCCTTCCTTCGCGCATGATTGATTACAACTACATCCCGGACCGCTATATCCACTTAATCGCCATTTTCCGCCCCAACTTTTTCCCGTGTATTCCTCCAGGTGTGCGTTAACGACGGTTGCGGAGGCCCACGCTACGTTTCGTCCGTAAGGTTAGTACTGTAACGTGTGGCTGTGCGTAGCTGATGTTGATGTCGTTCTGCATTTAAGGCTAACAATGGTTTTCTAACATGTAATTTCGTTCAACCATTAAGGTGCACGCCTTTTTTCTGCCCTACAGCGTGGATCACATTTGTTCATGGCTACAGCGGTTCAGGAAGGTATTCCGGCAACCTAACCATGTGCGTGCAGGATTTCGGCGTGCAAGTCAATCTATTTATCCTCTTTTGCCTGCACATGCCACTCTCAGCGCAGGTGTGTATTTAATGAGCTATTTTGCTTTATGACCAATATTGTTTGTTTCCGCCACAGGGATTATCTTCAGTCTTTCTGCCAAGTGCATGGAAGTGCTAGTTGCTTCTGCTGGTATTACGCCGCCTTTGATTACAAGTTTTACCAGTTGTTAAATTGTGGAGGTGCATATCGTCTTAAGACGTCTAGCGCGTGTTTTGTTTGTAAAGTTGTTTGTCATAAAATTTCGACAGGCGAATTGTGTTTTACTTCTGTACTCGGTAAACATTTATAGGCAATGGAAATTATAGTGACATTTCAATTGGCTAGTGTAACGAAATTAAAGTACTTAGTGTAGTCTGCTTGCTTATGGGTCGAAATGAAACGTACTGTATCGAGTATCAGCTGGCCAATAGCAGGCTCGCGATACGTGTACCATGACACAATCGGGACAGTTTTTGGGTGGCATGCGATGTGGAAAAATGTCCCAAAACTGTCCCCCAGCCGTCATACCCTATCTCCCGAATCTGTCCTGGAGGTGCATCCTGAAAAGGATAAAAAACTGTCCTGGATTTCTCTTTTGGGACGGATTCAGGATCCCCAATTCTGGTGATGTCTCACTGCATGTCACGACCTACAGTCACTCGCATGTATACCCCCTCCACCCTCCTGTCTCCCGTCTCTCCCTCTGCCCCTCTCCTCTTCTTCTCTCACTCCCCCTTTGTTGCCCTACTCTCCCTCCCACTTTTCCTCGTGTTGCCCTGCTTTCCCTCACTCGGTTCCTTTCTCTCCCGCATTCTCGCTCACTTGTTTCTGCCACATGCCACCTCTCCCCCTTTATCCTCCAGCGTGCCACCTTCATCCCTTCCCCCTTTTCTCTAGCCACCCCTCCCTCTCCGGCCGCTCACACAGGGCGCCCGTTGCTCTGCGTTTCTCACATTACAGCTTGAGCCCGAGAGAGGAACGCCACTTTTTCGAGTCGCGGGGGCTTCTGTCGATTTGGTATTTCGCCGGCTTTCGCTGCTAGAAGCGAGGGATTCAGGGTGAGCTCGTTGGTAACTTTTTTTGTCGCAATAGGGGAAGGTTGGGTGGCAGAGTTCAGATTGCGTATGTAACCACGGTTACGCTGTTTTGCACTGCGACGATCAGAAACAACCCCGAGTGCTGTTTAATTACCTCAACCAATAGGTTACGAACATGACATCTGCTCACAATTTGTGCGGCTTCGATAAGTGGCAGTTGTTTCGACCGAATAGGGCTCTAGTTCAGTCAGTTGCCAAGGGGTCATGCCATGCTGAGTCATCGAGGCGTTTCCCGTTTGCGGTGTTCCGTAGATTTCCATTGCGCTCGTGTCCTTCGCGGCTTCGCGAAAAACGCGAAAGGTCATTTGGGTCTGGACCAGGGCCTATTTTATCAGAGTAATTTACTCTGTTTCTCTGAAAATCAGAGTCGTTTTTGAAAACTACTCTAGGGGCCCTGAGTAAAAAAATAAATTATTTGTTTTACTCTGATTTTATCCGAGTAAACCTTTGTACCACTCTGATGGTCCGTGTATAGGGGGTACCGTATATATGTGATTATGTTCCTGTCCCCTATACCTAGCTGTGCCCATGTGTCCCGCAGAACGCGTCATGTCACACGCACCGGCGAAATCATTGTCTGGTCCGTGCTCGAGGTTGTGTGAGGGTGCTACGGTAAGTTTCCCTTGACCAAAATCACCTCGCCAATTGTGCTGGAAGGTGCATGAGGGTGCTGATTGGCCCTTCCTAGGGGTCAGGCGAGATGCGCTGTTGGCTGTGTGAGGTCGTGTTGGTTGGGCCCTTCACCGTATTTGGGGCCAACGTGTGCTTGCAGGGGGAGTGCAAGATTTCCCGTCCCCGCCCCTGCTGTGTCGACCTCTCCTGCCAGCTCGATTCCCCCTGCCCCTGCAATCTCGATTCCCCCTGCCCATACAATCTCTCGATACTTCCCCTTTGTTCCACCCCCCATCTCCCAATCTTGCCCCGCACACCTAGAGAACCCTGCTGCGGAGAGTTACTTCAAAAACCCCTCTGCATTGTCAGTGTAAATTTTTGAGAAATATAAAAAAACCCTGGAAAATCAGAGAAACCATTGGGGAGCACTCTGATTTTCAGAGTGATGAAAAAAGCCACTCCCTAATTTCAGAGTAGTAAAAATCCAAAAGTAGGCCCTGGTCTGGACGAACCGCCCTCGCGACGCCGTCCGAAATTATGTGGCGAAAACCAGGAGGCTGCAACTGCTTCGTCGCTGTCCGCATGTTCATCCCCGCTGTCATGATGACTCAGCACAGTAGCCGGCGCGGGGGACTCTCTCGAAACGGATACTGCCCGTAAACTTCTGCTATTGGGCGAGGGGGTGCAATTGGGATTTTTTTTGGGCAGGGCACTTTGCGGACATCGTTTGTAGTTTCGACGCTCTGGGTTGTCCCTGTCGTAAATGCCAGCCCCCCTTCCCTCGCCTGTTCTTTGGAGAGGGTTAGCACGGTGGTCGGCTTGCCTGCCCGCGGGCTCCGATTGTTCCTGCATCGCAAAAATCACGGACCTGCTGTTTACGCACCCCCCGTTTTGACTAGTCTTGGGGTCCGGGGGAGGATCTCATAAACTTATTTCTAAGGGCTGTGGTGACTTCCGTGCATTCATGGTTGTGTTTTGCAGATTCAGCCCCCTGTTTCTACTGGGAAACGGCCATCCAAGTACTTGGTTCCGCGGCGCGAGCAGCTCAAATCTTGATCGACGGTTTAAACTCCAAGCGATCTGGTTGTGTGGTCACGATTGCTGTTTCGACTTGTTCCGCTAACGAGCCTCCAACTGTACCGTAGCGTGTCAAGCCATTGATCGATCCTTTTGTGCCATTGCGAGCTGAATAACCACAAATAGTAACGACAAAACTGAACACATGGTACTGTTCACCACTAACTCAAAGCACATGGGCGAAATCTCAGGTGACAATGAGAGCATACACGAGTGTGTACGTTGGAAAAAAACATTCGCGACATGGTAACCCTGCCAATTTGTAAAGCGCCGCTATTGGACGTGCTGACCTTTCAAACGCGAACAGGGAACACGAGTGCCGTTGGCGATAAAAAATCAAGCAAGTGCTATTGGCTGTTGAAACATATCTGTCGCAACGTCCATCAACGCAAATTTCGCAAATCACAAATGAAATGTGCGGCTCGTCAACAAATTTCTGGCTATCAATGTGCGACTCGACATCAGAACACAGCACTCTGTGGCACGAATTACACTGCTGAGGCAAACGCCTGGTAAAAAAATGCAGCTTATGCCTTGGCCAGCCTAAGGCATTGGTGTCTAGTAAATTCAAGCCCTGTCTTGCAACAGTCCACCGAACAGGTTTTCACATGTGTTTTTAAGGCACACTATGTAGTGACGCTAGGCAGGCGGCCGGGATGGATTGCCCGGAGTGTGGTAGTGGGCCGTTCTACCACTATTCCGCCTTGGAATCCCATCGAGGTAGCAATGTTTGCAAAATAGCAGCGGCAAAGAAAGCATCGTCGCAGCGACCATAGAACGTTCATAACGTAGCATCAGAGGTTCATCAGCGTGGCGCCTAGAGTCCATCTACGAGTGACAATGTAGTTGTGCCTCGGACGTTTGACGATCCGGATGCTTTGGGAGAGGACGACGTACATGCGGCCGCGGCACAATCTGCCGCGGATTCCGAGGCATCTTTGTCACGCATGAGTGACACCTGCGGGGTTGAGAGCCTCTCTCAAGCCTCAAATGCCTCGAACGAACGCGCCGCCGCCCCGTTTTGTTTTAAGGACGAAGTCGCCCGTTGGGTTATGCAAGAACAACTCTCTCAACGAGCAGTCGCGTGGTTGTTTGCTACCCTCGGGCATGAGGGAGCCTCACTGGCGGATGTGGCAGGGTGGAAGTCTACACGTGACGTCAACCGCTACGTGGCGGGAAAGGTTGCAGATTGCGACCGTTCATGGCAAAAGGGAGTCAGTCGCGTGGGGACGAAGCAATTCCTCGAATTTCACTACTGTGATACCATTAAGGTGAGAGTGCCAATGTACACAACATCTAATGCAGCCAACGTGTTGGAAAAGGAGGTGACAAAGTGCAAGACAAAACCTTTCAGCATCTCTGCTCTTGTCTTCCCTCCAATCCAAGCAGTCCTTTGCCCCTCTCTGCCCTTATCCCCCCTCTCACTAATCACATCATCTTGCCCAACCAGCCCATTCAGCCCCCCCCATCCCCGCGCTAGTTTAAACCGAATCTCCCTTTTTCCCCTCTCTGTCCGAGCCTCTCCTCCCATCCCCACACTAGTTAAAACTGAACCCCCCCTTTTCCACCCTCTGCCCAAATCTCCTCCCCCCATCCCCGCACTAGTTTAAACCGATTGCCCCCCTTCCCCCCCCGTCCGGGCCTGTCCTCCCATCCCCACTCTAGTTCAAACCGAATTTCCCCTTTCCCCCTCTCTGTCCAACACCCACCTCCCATCCACACACTCAATTCAAACTGAATCCCCCCTTTCCCCCTCACTGTCCGACTCCCCTTTCCCATCCACTCACTCATTCAAACCGAATCCCCCCTTTCCCCCTCCCTGTCTAACTCTCCACTCCAATCCGCACACTCAATTCAAACTGAATCCCCTCTTTTCCCTCTCTTTGCGACTCTCCCCTTCCATCCACTCACTCATTCACACTGAATCCCCCCTTTCTCCCTCTCTGTCCGACTCCCCCTCCCATCCACACACTCATTCAAACTGAATCCCCCCTTTCCCCCTCTCTATCCAACTCCCCTTTCCCATCCACTCACTCATTCAAACCAAAACCCCCCTTTCCCCATCCCTGTCTAACTCTCCACTCCCATCCGCACACTCAATTCAAACTGAATCCCCTCTTTTCCCTCTCTGTACGACTCTCCCCTTCCATCCACTCACTCATTCAAATTGAACCCCCCCTTTCCCCCTCCCTGTCCAACTCTCCCCTCCCATCCGCACACTCAATTCAAACTGAATCCCCTCTTTCCCCTCTCTATCCGACTCCCCCCTCCCATCCACACACTCAATTCAAACCGAATCCCCCCTTTCCCCCTCCCTGTCTAACTCTCCACTCCCATCCGCACACTCAATTCAAACTGAATCCCCTCTTTTCCCTCTCTGTACAACTCTCCCCTTCCATCCACTCACTCATTCAAACTGAATCCCATCTTTCCCCTCTCTATCCGACTCCCCCCTCCCATCCACACACTCAATTCAAACCGAATCCCCCCTTTCCCCCTCCCTGTCTAAC